TTGATCGTGTTCTCTATTTCTCAAGACTATCATGGGATTTTCTTTCGAAGCTTGAAGGCACATTTCAAGATGACCCTGTGGGCAGAGTCAGTTGGGTCCATTACCCTTTTCCAATGGCTATCCCTACTCCTCATCCATCAATGAGAAGGGTTTGGTAATTCGAAACGATCTGCATGAAATATGCTTTTGATCCAAAAAAGACCCCCCCCCAGGTGCAGCGAAAATGAGGCCACGTGTGTAGAAGGTGTTCGAAAGTTAAACAGCCCCACATAGGTTCAGCTTGCAGTTGTAACGCGACATTGCTTTCGTATACACCACGTTTTGCTCGCTGCTTGTCAGGGGGGAGGGGTCGGAGCCATTGTCCAATGCTGCTTGCCTTCTTCAACTGTGCGGAGAACGAACTATCGCCGCGCCAATTCAGCCCTCTGACACGCCCCAGTATCCGCAAAGGACAAGACTGTAAGCCGTGGGTGATGTGGTTCAGGGATCCGTTTAAATTACTCCAAACGCTAATGTGCAACAGCGTTTCGTTGAGAAGCAGAGCATAAGTAAGGAATCCCAAAGGCATATTTCATGGCGGTCATAAGGCAACTCCGGGCCTACAGCTGCGCCTCTTTAACTCAATGGTGCGCTTCTCCCTTTTACACTCCTAGAGAAAGGGCGCATGGGTAAGAAACAATGATTAACGCAATCAAAGTCTAGCGTGCCTTCACAGGTACCAGAGGTTTTTCTAATCTCACAAGTACTTTTCTACTACTGTAGTACTTCAAGGAAGCAGCGCTAGGGTGGCAAATAAAGGTTTTTGCAGGTCGAAGTGATGGCGTCGTCACATATGGCGCTGTGGACCAAATTCATTGTGGACCGATAATCGCTTATGAGCCACTCACCACCCCAACTCATTGGCAATTCAAGGTACTTGGAAAGCAGTTAATATAACGATTTCGAAGGAATCGTATAGGCGCATGTTACAAGGCGAAAATTGTTTAGCTCACCACTGTAACATCGGGAAACTTCTCCACGAGTGGGAGGGGTATCAGGGCAAGATCGGCCACGGCTAGCTCATATATAGGCGCACCATTTGAAGAAGCGGATGCGATCGCCCAGGAACACGGAGCTACGGTGAGTTTTGGCTTTTTTATATCTTCGAGGATCCAAAGAATCGCTCCAAGAGGTTAGGCTCAGTTGATGCTGATGAAGCTACCGTCTGGCCTCAGTTTCCCGAACACAGTGGAGGTTATTGCAACCCTTCGGGTTGGTGTTAGGACTTGGGATGAGCCCCCTCTGCCACAAGTGGCCGATTCTTCAGGTGGAAAACAACCAGTGTTAGCAAACGGTTAGCTCATTCCTTATATCAGCCTGCCGTATTGCGACGAAATCAACTGAAACTCCATCACCCTTGACTTTTGAACCTGTGGAATTGAGCAATCGGAGAGAAATGAAAAATATAGAGCAAGGCGAGAAAATATTAAGTTGGAACGAAAGTCCTGTCAGTGTTTTTTGAGAAGCTTAC